GGAGAAGTGCCCTTGGAATAGCTGATCTGATCAAGGTATCAGTATAAAATGTTTATGTGAACAATATTCCGACAGTAACGATTTATTTGTTTGCAAAAACGTATGTTATAAAATGGCTGTTGTCTATATAGTTGAGGCTGAAAGTTATACCCCAAGACATAATCCATGGACCCAGCTTTTATCGTCCCTATATTCCGTTCCTACTCCTTACAACTGTGAGTAAAACTGTAGATGATACCTGCAATACATTGGGGAAAGTGTTACTGTATGGACCTCTATAGAGAGTCACTATACGGCAGTTATGAAATGCAACCCGTCCACAAAGTGATTTATATACAGAAAGTGCTTGACATTGTTTCCAGAGAAGTTAGCGATTTGTGTTTTAGAAAGAAACTCTCAACTGTGTTAAACTGGGAAGGATGATCTAATGAAATTCAGTCTGGAGCAGCTATCCCGTAGGAAAATGAAAGGTCTAAATAGGTCTAGAAAAAGTCTAGGATAGGTCTACAAGACCTATTCTAGACCTTTGCTAGACAATTGCGAAGGTTAAATTGTGTTTCAAAAGGCTTGCAAGACCTTTATATAGACCTTGGGAAAGTCTAGAATGGTCTTGGGTAAAAGTCTTGAAAGGTCTTGAAATGTCTTCGTTAGATCTTCCGAACTATAAATAACTTGGGTCCGTATAGTTTTGCTGTGCAGTCATAGTGTGTGCGTATGGCGACGCTTAATTAGAGTCATGCATGGATATATGGCCACCAAGTGTTATGTTTTCAGCGTAATTAATGATAATCAAGTAGTGAAAATTTCAGTGACACATACCTCTGGACACATACTAGGAATTATGTTGTTGTTGAGCTTCATTTTTTTAAATAACCAAAGAATTTGCTTGGGAATTGCTGCATGCACTCGCTAAATGGCTATATGTACCAGACAGAAAGATACCTTTACGTGCATTAAACGTATGTTGGGAAAGAAAATATCAAGATTTTGTTGGCATATAACTCGATTAAATAATAGTTGAAAGGTTTTGTAGACGGAAATTATTACGTGTATAAAGTTTAATATACATTTATTAGACCTAATAGTAATAAGCTAATTTACACTCAATAATTTCCATCTACAAAAGCCTTCTACTAGTCTATATAAAGAAAGAAAATACCTTTGAAAATCCAAAATATACGTATAAATATGGCCATATAATTATGGTTAATATAGTATTTACTGTACGCACTAGCTTGTACTTTTAATCTGCCAAATTTAACTGCCAATTTGCTTCAATTTGTAGTTTCCTCATTCACATTCTTTACTCTTCAATCAAGACAAAATGATACTACATGCATGATCATGTAATACAAGTAGAAGTTTCTTGAGATTCTTGCTCTTGAGAAGATTCTTGAGAGCATTTGAAAGTGCTTAACAGTGACAAAATGCCCATAGGCACACACTAGATTTTTACACTTCCTGATTGTTTCTGATTAATAAAAAAGTTTGTCACGTCTATCCGGCAGTTTTGAAAGACATTTTGGTAAAAAAATGCAGTGCAAATTTTAAACTAATGTGTACATCTTAATTTCCAGAGTAAGACAGTAATAAGATTTGGTTGTAGGAGACATATACTGTACAGTATATATCCGTCTTTTTCGGTCTTTGAATAAATCTAATCGGTCTTGACACTTATGATGATTAATTAACTGTGTCTGGACAGAAACACACGCAATTAAATGCGATTCTTGCAAGTACTGTAGATTGACCATTCTGAATGGAGTGAATGCACCGGCTATTCTGGTATACACAAAACAAAGGCAAAACGCATTCACAACACAAGTATAATTATTATTTATTATTTACATACATTACATAGTCGTACCACATCAGTGTCACAAAAATGTCTAGTCTGTTTCCACTTTATTTGGAGGAAAGGCCAAAAAGGATTGTTCAGGGTGGTCTTCAAAATGCATGTATATACATTTAGATTGTATTTGTTCTATCCCTACCAGTTCTCTTTTATTGATATCAGGCGGGCTTACAACGACAATGGCTGGAACGGATGCATGCGTAAGGTCATCTCGAATAAGATTAAACTGGACTTTTGAAAGAATAGAAATGACCGCGACATTAGTAGACTTATAAATGCATTCAGCTTCAAGACATAGGCATACTGGTTTGTATTGCACGAATAATTCGATTTGTCCGTAACGAATCTTATTTGCATTAACTCTTTCTCAGCCGGTAGTTTTGTATTACATTTCGATTCAATTTTTCTAATATAAATATCTTGGCGAGTATTTACCCCCTTCTAAATAAATGCCACCATTGAAATCCTCGGGGGGTCAAGTTCTGTCAAAACATTACACAAACCGAAACAATCATATATTTATACTCACCGCTTCGCCAAACATTCAAACGAGAAAAAGTTGAATAGATTCAAAACTTTGGCGTCATTTTCTGAAAGGATATATGTGTAAAATACTCTTTGTATTCAAGCGCTTTCGTGTAGAAAGTTTCGTATGAATACGGTGAGTAGAAATATTTATTTCTAATTTTTCAAGGTATCGGATTTTACTTGCACATGCTTGTATTACGTAATACTTGGCCAATAAGGAGCTCCCTTTAGCCGGGATGACGTCAAACTCACGCATATAGGTGCACTTTGACCTGTAGAATCCATTTCTGGCATTTCCAGAGTCACGCGACACAAACTTCGCATTGTTTTGACGGTTTTTCATCGTATTTCCGGTTGGGATTAACGCAAATTCGGGGCAGAAATGCAAAATTCGGCAAGAAAACTCACATTTTAAAGATAGAAGCTTGAAAATAAAGTATACATGTTATTTTTAACTGCTTCATTCATCAAGACTACCAGAATGAGCATACGTCTCAAGGGGCCGAAGTTATGTTTGGCGAAAGGTATGTCTATGTTTATAATTTGTTAGTAATATTGTGTAATTTGATCAAATACCAAGCTCACTTGACTTTCAAAGCTCATAAATCGCTACAATTTAGCCACTGACTAAAACTATCGTTATAAATTAGTGTATATTTTTATACTGAATCGAATGGTGGTATTTTCATCTACATAGCGTGCACTGAACCAAAGATATGAACGAATTACATCCGTAGAATGTGCACGTTGTATGCATAATGGACCCAGCTGAGAAAGAGTTAACATCCGAAAAGGTTATGGTATAATTGTTTCTGTTTTGAACACGACTGTATGCTTTAGAATGGTAAATTTCATTTTCTTTTCGAAGCCAGGAAAATGTACGTACTTTGAGAACTGTTGCCGGTGTGAAGCCAAATTTTTGTGCAATCATCAGGAGTTAGTTGACGCAAAGTAACTCCACCGACTGTGAAACAATGATCTGAAATTTGTGTTTCGTTGTTTTTTTGTTTCTCATTACCAGTAAGTGTTTGGTAAAAATCATACTCTGAGCTTCCAGGTATTAAAAATTCTTTTTCAAGTTCTGGTAAACGTTTTAACATTGAAAGCGCGGAAATTATTTGAAAGTGAATCTGCTGTGTGCCGTGTACTGTTTTCAAAAGAAACCCATTTTTATCCTCAAAATTAAAGTACGAATGAGTCCACAATGGTCCGAGCTCCCTTACGTTATCTACTAAATGAACAAGAGAGTGAATATTTACTGTTTGTTGTCTGTGGCCGTACAAAGGCTGAAACATTACACAGAAGTGAAATAAAAGATGTTCAGCATGCGCTAATTCGTTTACAGAAATAGACTGTTTTAACAATATGAACATTGCCTCACTTAACAGTAAAAAATGCTCATAATAAACTTTCGGTAAAATATTTAGAAGCACTGTTGGACCATAGTATAAAAGAAAAGACCGCAATTCCGAAGCTTTGAAATATTTTCTATGACCTTCAATTGATCGTGGACATCTTGAAATACTGCTTGGAGGTTTAATTGAAAGAAAGCGGCTATCTACTTCACATATTTTGTGCAAAATGCAAAAATCAAAACTTCGATTAGTTGCGAACCATAAATTTAATAGCATCTTCATAACACCTAAGAGAACGGCATGCATGTAGTCAATTTCAAGTGCCTTTAATAATGTCATGTTTTAAACCAGCAAGCCATGATGGACCTTTGACACCATCACAGGGCTTTTTCGTTAACACAGCCTCCTTGGCATCTTCAATAGTGCCTTGATGCATACGTGGAGGACCCTTTGGGTTATTTTGGCTGAATGGAAAGCTGAGTACTGTTCCACCTTTATCGGTTCTTACTGATTCCCCGGGTTGCTTGCACTCAGAGCAGCCATAAAATCCATTGAATTGAACCGTATTGCAGACCAGGCATTTGGCGGGTAGATCACAAGTGCCGGCTAAAAGAATAGCACGGCTGATAAAAGTTCCAGCTTCTGGGGATCCTACTCTGATTCCTTCAGTTTCCAGTAGTCTCAAACTTGAGTGAAAGGGTTTGAAATACGTTAGCATGTTGGGCTTAGTGGAACCAAACCACGGGCCAGCAAATATCATATTACTTCTACGGATTCGTTGTGCATAAGGCAATTCATTGACAATGCAGTACAAAGGCCAAATTGCAAGTTTAGACAATTTAAAAACTGGAATAACGTCTGTGTTCCACATAAAAGAAATATTCTGTTGATCAGACAGTATACCATCAATCATAGATATCTTCAAGGTTTTCACGATCCTTCTTGATTCTTTTGAAGTGAATACTAAGTGAATTCCACATACCACGAGTTCCAAACATTGAAAGTAATTGTTTTTCCATTGGTACTTCAATGGAAAAAACTGACATTGCCAGTCACAGTTAAATCTTGCTGACATAAAGCATTTGGACAGGTTTTCGTTTCATCATCGATAGCGACAGTACAACGAGCACAGTACTTGTGGTATTTCAAAGGACTCTTTAAGTGCTGAAAATACTTTTTGAATTTGAATAATGATTTGAAGCAATAGTTTGGAGTCCTGCAATGCAAGCTAATCAGCCCTAGTAGGTCATGCAATGCTTTACCCGATAGCAAATGTCTCATTGCAAAGGTAATAACAAGTAAAGCACTGAGTTCGACAGTAAATGGGCAGTTTTCGTACAGTGGTTTGTGATCCAGATCTTCGGATTCTGCGGTGCCAGTGTTTATACTAGTGTTGGCAAATTCAGTAATGTTTGCGTGATTATTACAGTCTGATGTTTCAGAAGCGTCATACCATACCATAGTTCATCGTCATCGCTTTCATCCATTTCGCTTTCAGTGTGCACTATTTCGTCTTGAAGAACGTCCTGTATTCGGTCCAAATAGTCAAATACCCATTCGCTTTCTTTATTTGTCTCATTCTCTGTTAGTGGCGGTGGACTTTTGTACACATCTTCAATTTCAGTTTCGACATTTGTTTCAGTATTCACTGCTGGAATGTAGGGAACTGACAGGTCATTGCTCAGTGTATTTAATAGTTCATCTTCACTTAGTTGGTCACAATGATCTGATTCCTCATCCTCGGGATCAATATCAACGGAAACGGTGCTTTGCGTTTGGTGCTGTCTTTCACAACATGGGAAAACGACCAATCCTGATTCTACAACATCTCTCTGTACCGAGGCGAAATTTCCATCTCTAGCTGTAGCTGTTATATCTTGTATGACTTCTACCTTTTTTTCCTATTTCTTTTTGATTGTCCGTCAGACATCTTCCCGACCAATATGCTACTGAAATGCTGAGTTTACACACAGATGGAATTTATCTATAGTAAGCTGCGGGCTATATGCCAATATGGATAATTTTAAATTAAAAATTAGATAAGATCGGCATCCAGTATAGTTTGCTTATTGAATACAATGTCATTTCGCACTTAAAACCTTGCTCGCCGATTGGTGCATCGAAATATTTTTGGTTTTGGCGGTCAGAATCAAAATTCATCTAGCCTTATAGGTAACAGATCGAATTTATAACTTGGAGTATAGTATGGCTGAAGAGCGTTATGCCCTCGTGTTTTGGATTGAGGATAAACAATATAGTGTGGTTGAACGCAAAGATATTATTGGAGAAGTAGAAATAAATAAAACTCTACCGGTAGCTTGGCGGACAAAGAAAAAAGGGTCTGTACATGTTGTCAGAAACTGGTACGAAGCAACCATATTGAAATTCTCGGGTAAGTCTGATTGATTTTCATTAACTGTGAGGGTTATATTTGATCGCAATCTAAGACAATCAACTTTGCATGAATTCTGTTTGCCTCTGCATGAATTCTGTTTGATATCATTTCACATAGTCATAGCTTAATATCGATCGAGGCTTAATGTACTAAATAGACTTATATTTTTGTTTTGTGGTTTAGAAGTCTTATTTTGATTTTGTATACCCTTTAAGAGGTACCGTTTGGTGCAGAACACATTTTTATCTATTTATCTCGTCCATTAACAAGTTTATCGGCAAAACGCCAGGTTTCCCATCGGTGTCAAGCGGGTGGTGCTATTAATGACCAGAAGGCATGAAACTGGCTTAGTTATTGCTCTTAGCGCTTCAAATTCATATGCAGTGTCAATAATATTGCACAGAAAAGCTAAACGACGACTATTACAATTCCATGTCCATGAGACATCAGACTCGGCATACCAAATATAGAGCATTTTGGCTTGCCATAACTGGGTTCGCCACATTTGAACTAGCTAGGCTTTAATACTTTGAAATCACTAACAGTACAATACTCAACAGGGTAACATGATGTTTTAATTTATTGAAGTGACAAATTAGGATAGCCCTCTGGGGATGGCGTTTGATTCTTGAGTGAGTTTAGTACATATTCAAAATTGATATAACTCGTCTTTTTCTAATTAACACATTCGAAAATTAAAATTAGATACATCTAATAAATAAGCCACATACAATTAAGGCTTAGCTAAATGAGTTGGAATTGTAGCAATAAGCAAAACTCAGTTAAATAATATCTGTATAAGAATTTCGTTTAATTGTCGCATTAATTAAATTTGGGTCATATTAGTAACAGTTGCACGTCTTTGAATATCGCAATTGTATAATTATCTCCTGAACTAGCTTCCTATACTGTGCAACATGCATATATAGCCACGTAATACTTATTATAAATCATGCAATTTTCTTTTTAAGATAATGAAGAAAATTTGCAGTTGCTCTGTTGTCAATATGCCGAAAAGCGGGAAGCTGAATTGAATAACGTTGATGGAAGGAAGCAAAAACGTAAAAAAAGTGCAAAATTAAGAGAGCAACATGATGATTTTGGAACAGAAGAAGATTGTGAGGAAGTTATGCCTGTTATAGAAAAGAAGAGTAAAACAAAAAGAAAAGAAGCATCGGATAGAAGCATGATCATGGCCAAAGGTAAGGGGAAAAAAGGAAGCCACTGACAAAGTTATCCAGTTTGAAAGTGCAAAAATCATGGCACAACAGGTTGTCGCTGCAATGCAGTCAACTGAATCATCGGAAAAGTCGCCAGCTGAAGAAAACAGCGTTATTTTGGTCCATGAGGAACAGCCGTTGTCCATTTCAACCGGCCCCAATTACGACAAAGACTTAAACAGCAGCAACCCATCACCGTTGCCACCACCAAAACCAACAACTCTTGAAAACGAATCACTTTCCCAAACCTCACACAGGAATAGTTTCAGTACTCCTTTCAGCTCTTCCGATCTAATGGCTAATTCCCCTACATACATAACTCTTACGACCCCAAAACCACGCCAACGGAACCTTATCCAGATCATGACCCAACAATGTCACCTACTAAAACTACTACGTCTACGCCAGTTAACCGTGTTGCTTCAGTGAGACAACTTCATTTTCAACCTGACATATCAACTGGTTCTACACAAGAACCTTTCTTCTGAGATAAATAACGCTATCTGCCTTTCTTACAACTGTACACAGTGGCAAAGCTGAACATGGTGACGCTGATTCTGTTCCGCCAAAATGTGAATGTGATGAGCTTAGAGAAGAGAATTCAAGGCTGAAAGCAACAATTGAAAAGCTACAACTTGAACAAGAAAGGTCTACAAGTAAGTTTATATTCATGTCACTCATGCAATGACAGACTCATGCATGTTCTTCCTTTTTCCAAACCTCATCTTGAAACACATAAATCATAAAAATCAGCAAGTGATTTCCAAAATCATTGCAAAATCAGCGAGCAATTTGCGGGGCAAGACACGTTTTAGATGCAACTACTAGTCTCTGAAGATGTTGTAGCTCAGTAGATACCACAAAACGAGATAACTTTTATAAAATACCGCGTTGTTTCAATTTTATGCTCAGTGTTTTTAGCAAGAATACATAATATATACTTTCTGTTACTTCGATTTCGATCCTTCACGACCCATGGCCATGGCTCATGCATATGTTTGTCGGATTGAGGACTCTCATGCAATTATCGCTCTATCATTTGCTATTTTTTAGTGCCCGAAGCTCCTGCTGTTATGTACCTTGAATCCTTAACGAAATACCTTCGTGGCATTCATACACATGCAAATGATGAAATTGTACTAGTACTATCTCCCCAAAACCACGCATCTGAATCTCACATCGCTCATTTGAACACAATGCCAAAGTTGAAGGTAGGCAAATTACATCATCAGTCTATATACTTCAACCTTAATTTAATGGCTAAGCGGCGCAATGATCAATAATATCTCGCAGTATAGTTAACCAAGCTTAGCCAACTTCAGCCAGTTATAGCTATATAAATTCAGTTCATTATATGTCTAGCAATTTGGACAAAGCTAATGCCAGTAGTATGCCGGCACAATGTCATTATGTTAAATTTTATTTCTCAACTTTTCTTGTTTTCTGTCTCCTGCAGATGCCTCAAGTCAGTTCTGCTGCAAGACCGTCAAACATTACAACAGTGAAAACAGTAACTTCGTCTTCATCGCACTTTGAGGATGGTGATGGAAAGCAAGAATTGTGCCTGGGATCTGGAGTGTATATCCCTACAATAAAGCTTTGCCAGTGCCATCACAAAGCTGGTGCAGAAATGAAAGTTCTCTTCCATGTATTAATGGATCATTTCTTTACCGACGAAATCCTGGCAAAATGAATTGCTTTTGGAAACTGTGTGGTGCCAAGTGGAAAAGAAGTACTGAATCCAAAAATTGTGTCGGCTATTAAAGGTATAATGATTAATATTTACATGTTGCCTCAAAGTTCAAAATGTTAAAGTAAATTAAATACGGACTATTCTTGTTTCAGGGTACTTGCTCTCCGCAGCTAAAGTATTCAATGTTACACCCCTTGACGGTGCCAAATTGAACAAGATGTTCACCAACAAATGCACTACTGCTCAAATAAAAGCGAAGAAGAAACTGATGATGGCCAAGTAAAATAACTGTAGGTCAATCTACGGGGAAGGTTAGACATTTCAGTTGCCAATGACAATCACGAAGTTTAGAAAACTGATCTGATTTTTGCAGAGCATGTTCAATTGCATATATATATAGATTATAGATTAGAATATATATATTTATTTATTGTTATTATAAACGTTTGAATTTTATATCAGTGGAAAATAGTTGCTTTTAGTTTTATGATTAAAGATTTTGAACAGAACTATTTCAATCGTTTTTGCATCCGGCCAAAGTCGTGTTCGCTAGCTATACTACGCAATCGCATAGCGCTCGCATGTGCGCGAAGGCATGCCATATATACGGTGCTAATAGACCATTCAAAGATATTTCTAGACATTACTAGACCTTTCTACACATTCAAAGACCTTTCTAGATATGCCAAGACCTTTCTATACATTCCAAACATTTCTAGACTATTTCTAGACCTTTTGAAGACGTTTCAAGACATTTCACGATAATTGGAAAATGTCTAGAAAAGGTCTTCAGAGCTGTCAATTTTAGCTCAAAATACAGACCATCGCAAGACTTTTCCCTGAGGGTCTTCGTAGATCTATTCAAGACCTTTAATAGACAATTTTCTAGATCTACTGAAGACCTTTTCAAGACCTAAAATAGATCTATCATTTTCCTACGGGATGTGGCTCTGTGCCACTCAAGCAAAGAAATGGTGAAATGAGCGCGACCACCTATGTGTTGGGTATCCTTCTCAAATAATCTCGCTTGACTGAGGTTATAATGTACTTAATAATACACTTAAATACTACTGATATAGTTTTAGTTTTCATTTAGGCTTGTACAAAAGATATGCTGTAAAGCAAAAGTGCTTGTGGGTTTTATGAGCTCTCAGACTTCTATGACTATGGTTTCAAAAGTGCTCGGGTTTTATGCGTTCAATTAAGACCTGTTTACAAATTACATTGGTCTTTGCCTTTTAAAAATTCATGTCAAACGTTGCTATAGTTTTAACTAGCAAATGTATAAATACTTTTATATTTTTGATTTTGTGTTTAATAATTTGAATGCAGTAATTTGAAATTGACAGCTTGTTGATTTCAAAATAGTTGTTTACAAATTTGTATATTATTATATACTTAATGTCTGCTCCCGAGGAAAATAGTTAGTTTTGTTTTCCCGAGAGTCACAATGTTTCCCAAGACGAAGTCGAGGGAAACATTGAGATTCGAGGGAAAACAAAACTAACTATTTCCCGAGGGAATAGACACTAAGTGTGTTATATAGCGACGAACAAAAATCGAATTCAACAACATTCATATACAACAATTGTTCTTCGTGGTAAAAACTCTATAGAGTAAACGAGTTTAAAATTAAAGAACCTACTTAAACGGTTTCGGCAGCATATCCTGTTTCCTGTTCTGTATTTTTCTTCCCTTTTACATTCTTTATTTGAACACAAACTTGGAAAATCGTAGTTTCTAATTATTGTAGTTGTGCCGCCATTTTGTTTATTTATGTACGTGGCCGGTCGGGGCGGGCAACAATTTTTCACTTGTTGCCCGGCGGGAGACATTGCATTTATCTGAAGTCATGTGACCACAAATCAGCCAATCACGTTTGGTGTTCACGCTAGCTATATAACAAATATTTTTATTTAATTTTGCCCATGTATAAAAAAACTACTTAAAAAATAGTTGTTGTTTACAAATTTGTATATTATATATTTTTATTTAATTTTGCCCATGTATAAAAAAGCTACTTAAAAAATATCTGTATAAACGATTTTGGGCTAGATACCTACTAGTAATCTTTGTAGACTTTTTATTTAGGCCTCCAGTTACTGTTCATTTGTGATAATTAAATCACATATAGTCAATTTATTATTTACAGTCAGTCAATAGGCCTACAATATGTAAAATGAGACGTTTTGAAGAATATATACGTCTGTATTTACTCCAAAGAAGGGCAATGTTCTAATTATATAAATTAATACTAATGTTGTTGGCGATGCATTTAAATTTTTACTATGACTGGGCAACAATGGCGAACAATATACTAAACTAAAGTGCTATATATTACTAAAGTATTACATATATATTATAGAAGTATGTTTTATCGCATGTCTTATGGTAATTGTCAATTGTGTATAGCATAAAAAGTGTTGTTTAATTTGCTTTTTGAAGATGTTATAGGAGTTTATTTCATTAAATTTTGTTTCTAACAAATTCCATTCATCAACTCCTTTATATGCATGAGAGACTCTATTGTTTGACATAATATAATTTGTTCTTTTATTATAACATTCGTGAAGTTTTGAAGCATTTCTCGTGTTATGACTTATGTTCATGAATTTTGTTGTTCGTCACAAAGGAATTTTTAAAGAAATCTGGTAAATTATTAAGCTGGTGGTACCGAAACATAAATAAGGCAGTTAAATTGTCAATGATTTAAGAGCAATGCCTCTGGAATTCCATAAACTACCACTCTGGCGTTATTCATGGAACAGGTGATCACATCACATGAGAGGCAAATCGATTTACTGAAGCCTGTAGTATAGGCGGGTTGACAAACACATCTTATTTTCTTTAATTATTGTTCCAATCGCATTCTTCTGATGATTGTTGCAAGTAGAAATACGAAATAATGGGCGACTTCACACAATGCTTGATCATACGACGCCATCTTTGTTTCGGAATTAGTAAATTTAAGCGCGAAAGAGTTACTGATTTTGGTACTTGGGCTGTGATTGGCTAAACAATCAGAATGGAATGTGTTGTTGCAGTAAGCAGCCTGTTAGTGAGGAGAAAACCTCGGACCCACGAACAAGCTGTGTAAGAGACTAGTTAAATGTATGCATACATCTACCGGGTGTCCCAAAAAAAAGTACTCCTGTTTGATTCGTAATAACTTCTAAACAAGTAGAGCTTTTAAAGAGAAATAACTTGCATTAAATAGAGGAAGGACTAACTTAGATTTTGATATATTACAGTTGTATTTTACTTAAAAAGTCACAGAGATATCAATGTTCAAAATCCGGAGCATATTTTGGGATGTGTCTAAAATTAGCGAAAATCAACATATCAAATATTAATTCCAGCATTTGTTTGCTTAATGACATATCCGGCTAATTTGTATTTCAGCGAATTGTCGTTAGGGTTTGTAAGGGATATGGCGTAGATTTAGACATCTTACATGTAAGTCTTAGCTCATTGTTTCCTGAAATATGAACTTCGAAATTATGCAAGTATTTAATAGGTCTTTACAAATTTAAAGGTACATGGAAGGCAGGCGCTTAAATTTTTCTTAAATAGCACAATTTTTTTATGTTTTTAATGGTTCAAACAGACTGAGTTGATTATTTCTTGGTTAGAGCAGGATGAATATTATTCTTTATTGAAAGAAGTAATATTGCTTTTTGCAAATACGCATCAATGCTACTATTTTGTTACGTTTTATTCCAATAATATCATGATTGCGGGTATTCCCTTTGTTCTCGCAGGACAATTAAAAACTAATACACCTCATTATATTCATATTTTCTAATCCTACCCGCTTTTACGTCATGTCAGGTAGAATTAGTTCTAATCCTACCCGAAACGACGTCAAAGCGGGTACGATTAGAAAAAATGAATATAAATGCAGATATCTGAAATCGCTAAAACTAAACAAAGACAGGGAAAACAATTATACCATTTAATTTATACCATTATTTATTGTTAATTGTTTTTTAATGCGAGAACAACGCCAACGGGAATACCCGCAATCATGATATTATAAGGTAATAGCATAAAAAAAAGCGAATTAGCTATTGAAACGTCCCGCCCGATGAGGGTTGTTTAGTAAAATTTCCTTGGGCCCCGCTCGATTCGGGTCATTTAGTAAAATCATTGAGCGGCGCCCAAGGGACATATACCTCAAGCCTAACAGCAATGTCTATTTTGAAATTTCACCAGGTCTTCTTCGGTATCGATGATATTTATGGCATCTTCTGCATTTTCCCCATCCTTGATGTAGATTCTAGCATTGTTTGTCCATATATACTTCCATTTCATATGTTTTCTGAGCTTGTTAACATTAGCAAAGACCCTTTTCTTGTATGGTGTAAGTGATTCAGAGACATAAACATTGTCGGTGGACTGAAGTTGTAAATCTGGAAGGTCTTTGACTTTCCTTTTGGCTAATTTCCTACGATTTGAGTAGAATTTATTCCTGACTTTCCTTCGTGTAAATTTCACCATGATCTTAGGTGGAGCATCCCGATTATAATATAAGATGGTATGGGATGTGTCATTGAGATATCATTTTGTGAGACAGTGACGCTAATGGCTTTCCTGACAGATTTCACAATAGCTTCAGCAGACCATATGCTTGTTGCTTTTGGGCCAGATATTTCAAAGCAGTCTCTTCTCAAATATTGTGCGAGTTTTTCAGCTTGGATGCTAGCATTCACAGCACATGTGTTGACATCATTGAGGTCTTTTTTGATGCTTGCTATGTCTTGATTTCAGCATTGTGTTTTATCGTTTATTGACTGAAATTGTAATAACAGGTCATCATATTTAGCGGACAAGTATTCAACTGTTTTATTTAAATCTTGGAAAGTAGACATCATTATCTCTAGTGTACCTATAAATTGGTACTAGTTCTTCCTTAAGGCTGGTTTCCAGTCAGTGGAATTTTGCGTGCGGGCGGAATTTTTTAGGCGGATTTTGATCTGCGCATGCGCATATGGTAATTTTGTATGCGCAGCAGGCGGAAAAGTTTCCTCCAAGTTCCTTCAAGCGCACAAAAAAAAGTTGACCTTTGTTCTACTTTTCCGCTTTGCGAGCGGCGGAAAATTATTTCAACCAATCAGATTGCGTCTTGAAGACACCTTCCTGCATTGCTGTGGTTTGAACAGAAAAATGTCTGACAATGCTAAAAGAATTGTATGCGGTATAGAAGGACGTAAAACCATGCTATTAAGCAAAAAAAAGGGACAGATCAAAGAAATATCTATACTATAGACTTCAGTGCTCTTGAAAATCTTCCCGAAGTCAACCGAAGCATAATACATCAACCAGAACCAAGTCAACAAGTTTCTGCAAGTAGTTCGTCAGGTGAAGGTATGTCGTGAAAATTTATACCGTATATTAAGACCCCTTTGAAGTTTGACATTCGACTAATAATAAATGCTTAGCTCTATATGAACTGATTTGGTGTAATTATTTAATGTTTTTGACTTTTTGGCATGTATTAAAACTTGTCACAACTCAGACAGTCAACTCAGAGGTTTGTTGATTTTAATTTTATATGTTTGTATTTATAATACTGCAGTTGGTGTCAGTGTGATAGAAGATACTGTGTCAGGTGAAGAAGCAGTAGATGTTGATAATGATGGAGAACCAGGAGAAGAAGCATTTCTCGAGGAATACACTGCGAGGGTTTGATAGAGGAAGTCAGAAGTCGCCCTTGCTTGTGGAACACCTCGTTGAGGGTTTACAAAGAAGCAAACAGAAAGAAAATTGCATGGGAACAGATTGCTCAAAAATTTAGCCAAGATGGTTAGTTTGTGTATATGATTATTTATACTGTCAATAGTGATTAAACCCCTAAAACAAATAGGCCTGGTGACAGCCGTGCCTTCATCTGTAGTCCCGGATAGAACGGGCCATTCCATGTAATATAGGCCACCCCCTATTGAGGGGTCTAGATTTCCAACAAGGGAGGGGGTCTTTTATTTAAATTTTCAACAAAATGGCCCAATACACTCAATGTTGCCATCTGATATTACTGTTTTTGTTGTGTTTCTGTTTTTGTTATGCAGCTCAGGTTTTTACCTTTTGTGAACACTATATTCTTCACAATAATAATAAGTATATTTACTCAGCCTGCACAGCCTGAAAAGGTTTTCCAGAAGGTTTCCTTCTCCCTAACACATGCTGATGCTTGTCTTTAATAATTATCATATTTTTTGTTTTCTAGTTGATTTTCTGAAGCTTCAGTGGAAGTAT